ATCAGCAAATATAGGCCTCGAAGAATTGCATGCCGCATTTCGACAAACTGGACAGCAAGATACAACCTATTCTACCGGTTTGTGGAAGAAATATCTGTGGACGCGATATATCAGTACATCTTCCGCACCACGGACAGTCTGGGTAATGCAGTCGCTGCTGTAACGACTCTGATTGTCCCGCACAATTCGGATTCATCGAAGCTACTCGTCTACCAGGCGGCGTATGATGCCGCGAACGGAGACTGCAGTCCATCGTATACCCTGCGGCCTGGATCCTCGAGCGCCGGACTCCTAGGTCTCCTAATGCCAAATAGTACAACATTCACAGAGGGAATATTTGTAAGAGAATATTTTGTCCTTATTGACTCACTGATCGTGGTTGTTTGACTGACAATTCCCCTTTGACCATTTCTAGTTAGCTGCCGCGCTGAACCGAGGGTGGTGGGTGATGGTAACTGACTATGAAGGGCTGGAAGCTCAGTTCATCGCCGGCCTGCAATCTGCCTATGCCACGCTCGACTCGGTCCGCGTAGTGATCAACGAGGGACACAAGATCGGGCTGGCTCCCGATGCCCGGTACGTGATGTGGGGCTATTCTGGAGGAGCATTTGCCGGTGGGTGGGCTGCAGAGCTTCAACCATCATATGCGCCAGAGTTACATTTCTCAGGGGCCGCCTTAGGCGGCATAATTGTCAATACCACCTCCGTCGTAGAATCGATTAATAGAGGGACATTTTCGGGTCTCATATTTAGAGGCTTCTATGGCGCTGCCAAAGCCTATCCCAACCTCACTGACTGGATGGATGGGAATATGCTGCCCGACAAAAGAGACGACTTTTTCAAACACGCCACCAATTGCCAGATCCAGGGAATTGACGGGAGATTCCACGATGTTTTCTCTTATTTTGTTGACGGCGACCGGTCGATATATGGGCCTGTCCCCGCAACTGTGCTTGACTGGTCTGGGCAGATGGGCCGTCGCGGGTCCCCGACTATGCCGTTGTTCATATACAAGGCCGTCGGGGATGAGATTAGCCCTATTGAGGACACCGACAAGCTGGTACATCAATACTGTAGTAACGGGGCCACCATTGAGTACCATCGAAATGTAATAGGGGAGCACGTCACTGAAGCCCTCATCGGATCGGTAAACGCCTTGGAATGGGTTTCGGATCGGTTGGCAGGGAGACCTCTGCGACATCTCGAATCATGCTTGACAAAAGACGTACTCATTTCCAATATTAGTCCCTCTGCCATTTCAACACTCGGCATAGAATTGTACTCTTTCCTAAGGTCGATTCAAAGTGCTGGCCTAGGACCTCCGTCTTGAGTGTAGTATATGAAGGACGCTATTTCCCATCCTTGATCCTATTTCAGTTGGACACCGGCATGCTACCGAGTCGTGGGTCATTTCAGGGCATATGCCAGAAGCTCGATGCAGCTATTCGTACAAATCTCACCATCTATCTGCCATCTTCCGGGCTCTCTGATACAAGGCAGGAATATAAGGAAGGGAGTTAGAAGGGGTTGGGAGGAATCGGAGTTTGGGGAAACTGAGGGGAGCAATATTTGCGAATATTTCAGGCAAAATCTGGAAACAGTGGACAAAGGTCGCTGGAGGAGATATCACGAAATTCGAACAGAAAATCCCTTCTCATCGACCCTTGAAAGATTCAATGAGAACCTTTGGGTTGTTTAGTGAATGTAGTAATTGTGTCTTCGATGGCGGTTCCTTTGTTTAAAGTAAGTCATGCCTAGTGATATGTGAAACGATGAGGATGAGTTACCTGGAGGTAAATTGACATAGATATCGTAGAGATTGGATTTCTTTTCTTTCCTTTCCTTTCCTTTTTTTTTTTTTTTTTTTTTCGGGGGGGGGGGGGTGTAGGAGTTGATTGAGCTTTGACAAATTTCTACCTTGGTTAATTTGACTTAGATCATCTCTAATACGGGCAGCAGATGTAATTACTGGAATATTTTAATAGTTTGCCAATAAATAAGTCTGCGAGTGGGTTCGGGCGTCAGCACTCCCTATTTGATGGAGAGTGGTCGAAGTGGGAATTACTCAACAGAATGTTAAGAGTTAGAATGGTTGGATAGCCTTGAGGTACAGTTCTGACGGTCACCGTATTGCGTTTTACAAAGATCCCACCCGCAGACGCAATCAACGGGAAGATCCCAAACGGGAATGAAAATGTTGTGTTTTCCTTGATATTTCTCCACACAATCTGCATATGAAATATGCAGCGTCATTGTTTATGGAAACGTAAAAGCCGGACCGGATAGCTATTTCAGGTTTTGATATCCTTTCAGCCACATAAATGATCCTATTTGATTATTTTTGCCGTTTCTCATACACTCCGCTGAGTCTGGAACTTCGATAACCAGCGGATAAGGATATATGGTGAATACCCGAGATCTACTACGTAGTTCAGTTTCCGTTCCGCACGATGCGGTCGAACACGTCAAGCCTGAACAGCGGGCAAGAGAGTAAATTTGGCTATCACCATGCCGCAGCAAACCGTGCATGGAACGGGATCACTAATGGTGGATAATGGTGAAAGTTAGGTGCAGTCCGTCTGGGGCGGGATCGTGCTTGATGCTGTGTTGTTGGTTGTTTGTCGTTCCGGTTCTTTGTTCTGGTGCGGAGGCGGCTGAAGAACCGCAGATGGCCGGGCAGGTCACCTGATCTGCGGCGGATCCTGCTGGGTCATCGTATTCGGCTTATCTTGCCGGATCAGGCAAGAAGGTTGATGGCCTCAAGATCCGCCCAAAGAGGCAAATTCGGCTTCGGATTGCCAAGGAGTCATTACCAGGATTCATCTGCCATCCCCTTCATCCTCAACCAAACCTCCCCATCAGCATCCAGATATCCCCGCAGTCAAGAAGCAGGGTGCCTGGGAAAAGTGCTGGAAAGTCTGTGTGGCTGGCGTGTTGGTTGTAAACTAACCCAACAGCTCGCTCCCTTGCTTCCCTGTTCCATTCTACCGCCAATGCAACTAAGAAGAGCTAGCCGCGGGTGTTTTACTTCTCCTTTGTGCTTCTCGACCACCTCACACCCCCTCCTGCACCGACGCCGTGGGGAAGGCACATATCTGTAACCAGGCCATTGTACCGAGCTTTTCGTCTTGTTTGAAAATACTCCAATGCCGGCCTCAGTGGCTCAACGTGTCCACGGATCCTGAATCCCCACCTCCAACTTGCTTTGTTCCTTGGTGATCCAACGATCCAGACTCTAGCCCTTTGCGGCTTGCTGGGGCTACGATCGGTTGGTGGTGAACAAACATGGCCGAGTAAGATTGACTCCACATGGATATATAAAGATGAAGGCTGCTATTAGCTGGGAAATATCGTTGATTGATATGTTGATTGATACACTGCTGATAAATGGGTATCAGATTGATTTCCATCCACGGATGGGGTTATCCGGCCCTCCGAACCTCCTCCACTTCTAACGACCCCGTGCAGAAACTACGTACAAACTCCGCGGATGTCAGATCTATTTCTCCAAACAGGAAAATCCCCAAGTCCAAGTCAACCAATGCGCTGGCAGATATAATAGCGGCCTCTGGTGTTCACGAAGTTTCCCGTGCTGCTCTTGAAGGACCCTCCGAACATTCCCTTTCTACCCTGCGCGACCCTCGAGTTGCCAGCACTTCGGATTTGTCGACCTCGGCTTCGTCACCACACCACCCAGATTTGAGTAGCGAGGTCGCAAATCTCAGCGACAAGCTCATCCAAGCCCTTAACAGCCAGACTATCTTAGATGATACTCTGGCAGCCACACGCCAGGAGTTGGAACAAGCGCTCATAAGGATTGGACAACTGGAGGAACAAACCCGCCAATATGAGGCAGATATCACTAATGGGGTCCTAATGAGGAGGGTGGACGTGGAAACCGAGTGGGCGAGGCTGAAGGATGAAGCTGCTGAACAAAGAGCTCAGCGTGCAACTATTGAAAAGGAAAAAAAGGCCATTGAACTGGAGCTCGAAAATCTAACGGCAGCGTTGTTTGAGGAAGCTAATAAGGTAGGACTAATATTTCCCTGCTGGATCCCGGTTTTCCATAGCACTATCTAACTTTTGTATTGCAGATGGTAGCCGCCGCACAATTAGAACGAGAGATTGTTGAGCGGCGAAATGAACAGCTTCGAGCGCAAATTAAAGATAACGAAATACTTCTTGCCTCTCAGCAGGAGCAACTGAGCGAGTTGAAAGTCGTCATACAGAATATGAATACTGATCAGGACGAGATTCGCAGTCGAACGGATGCTTCCACTACACCTTCTTCTCCAGGCACAACACATCAACATGTTAGTACCATAGATCGCCTTTTGGAGGCAATGAACCTCACACCTACCGCCCCTGGCTCGGGTGAAATTTGCCCAGCCCCCTCAACAAGTTACTCACACTTAATGAAACCGGTCTGTCGAACCGATATCCAATCTTTCGAGGATTTCCGTGCGATGATCCATGGAGCTAGAAGTTCTAAGCCGTCAAGTAGAATTGGGAGTGGATCATATGGAGGATTGAATGTTATGGGATTCGGCAATTTCACCGGCAATAAGGAAAGCGAACACAAACACTCGTATTCCAATGGTTCGGCAATGTCTCTCCCGAGCTTTCCCGGTTCTCCTAACAGTAATTCGCCGCCTCGCGAATCGTACGCAGCTGTGTTAAAGGAAAGCCGATTCTACAAAAGAGCACTTACCGAGGATATTGAACCCACGCTCAGGCTAGATGCTGCACCCGGAATATCGTGGTTAACCCGTCGTACGGTTCTGAGTAGCATATGTGAAGGAGCCCTTGTCGTTGAATATATATACCTGCTGTTGCTGCGAAATACTCATTCCCATGTGCGCTCTGCGGTGAAGCGAGAAAAGGAGGGGAGAATGCAAGAACTCATCGTTTCCGTACCTCAGACAACGAGAACGCTCAACGCTACCCGATGTGTACGATTTGCTTAGAAAGGCTCAGATCTTGCTGCGATTTCGTTGGGTATCTACGACTCATCGTCGACGGCCACGTTCGCATTTTAGATGAAGAAGACGAAAAGGAAGCATGGGAAGAGACTATCCGCCTCCGAGAACGAATGTTCTGGGCTCGGATAGGCGGAGGAGTCGTTCCTGCTTTCCTTCAGTCGAAATGCCCCGATAAGGACAGTTCTGCTCCCAGTATTGATACGGCTTACCAAAAGTGCGAAGATAAAACGGTGTCTGTGGAAGATCCCTTTGCTCCTGATCTAAACGCAGTCGCGAATTGTACCTCTCAAGTGAGAATGGATGCATTTCAAGCCCGAGAGTCCGACGGACCTGATGAGATTAACAACACCGACTCCGGAATTGGAATTGGTTTAACAAACTTCCCAACTAATGCTAATGAAAATGAACTTCCTTTTCAAAGGCTTTCTTTGAGCGAATCAACCGCCAAGGCTAACATTGACACGAAAATTTTCCAACTACACGAATCAGATTCTTCCAGGCCAATGGCACCATCGAACAATAGTGCTGGATTGGATCCGCAATTAAAAGTTACGATGCCTAACAAAACAGAGCTTTGAGCGTGTACTCGCCTCTGTTATCAAACCTAAAGAGAGAATGTACTGAATTGGAACCGAACTCGCTATCAATTTTTTTTTTTTCCTGCGCTGTCCTTTGACTATACCCATTTAATAGTAGCTGGCTGGGAGCCGTTTCTTCGATTCTTTCGAGCGCAGGGCGCTGTATCGTTCCCTTGCAACATAATACTATATAATACTGGTCACACTCAGCTTTTTTTGTCGCCGCCAGCACACGAATGGCCTCTTTTCTTACTTCCC